TTCATGGGGGGGAATGAGGACACATTTGTAATCCCTTAAACTAATAAAGAATTTAAAGATTAAAAACAAAAAAACAAAACCACCCAGCTGTCTCTTATAGAACATGACGTATGTTTCTTTTAAAAATGAGAGAAGTCAACAGAAAATGATTTATGAAAAATTGTGGATTTAATTGCTAGGTCTCTGATTTAATTCCAAAATGCAGAGTTGGTTAATAGGAAATAATTTTCATACCGTTAAACTAAATAGCTCAAAGTTCGTCAATAATAATAAAGAAAAATCTCATAGTTACAAAAAAAAAGTGCTGAATCTTGCTATCATCAGCCCCCTCCTCATTATTCTGCCATTGAAACACCTTCCAGCTCTCTTTGATGAAGGTATCTTTCCCTCTGCTTCTAATGTTTGGACTTTCCCCATCTTTAAAGCAAAACAGACCTTCACTTGATGGAAAGTTGAATGATGGCGAGGATTCAGACCATTCCCAGGTATTTCAGCACTTCTAAGGATCCTAATGCTGTCTGAACATGGAAATTTCTGGGTCTTCTGAAGTGGTACAATCCAAAGGACATCATTTATCACCCTGGACGAGGCCCACTGAGCTCCAATATTCTGTGAGCTCAAAAGCTGGCAAAGGGCAGCTGGGCCCAGCCCCATTGTCCCTGGGTTCTTTTTTGCTGATCTGTTTGTTCCAAGTTCCATTCTGCTACCTAGGCTGGAAATTCCACACATGCTCAGCGCCAAGGAATGCAGCTCTTGCTGGCCAAAACGCTAGCCAGGAAATGAGGAGCAACTTTGCATTTGTGGCTTCTTTTCACTTGTGGCTTCCTCTCTCACAGCTGTGAGGCTGACTGTGCTACTGCCTGAGCTGTTCACCAACCTTATCCAACTGGAGAGCAACTACTTTCAGGTCACCTCGTCCAGGGAGCCTCTGCTGACTTCTACAAGCAGCCTGCTTCCTGACCTTTAAAGGCCCAGAGACCTTTCATTTGACATGGTATTTAATTCCTTCCTAGTATTTCCATTATTTGTTTAACCCCTTCATTTATTTATGTATGTATTCATTCACTCATCATTAATGTAAAGCACCTACTGTATGCCAGACCCTATGATAGGAGTTAAGGGTTAGTAAATCAAACATAAGCCCTACCATTACAGAATTTACTGTATGGTAAGAGGGTAGCTAGGAGCAGTCACATAAGTATACATACAATTATAGCCCATTGAAAATCCTTGCAAGTAGGAATGGTGTTGGGCATACAGCCTACATCACACAAATGTTTGAATGATGTTTGTAAAATGTGAAATGTCTCCATTAGTTCTTAATTTTCCACATTAACAGGTGAATGTACAAACCATGGACTATCTAAAACGTTCCTCAGCCGGATGGTGTGGTTCAGTGGTTGAGCATGGAGCTATGAACTGGGAGGTAATGGTTCTATTCCTGGTCAGGACATATGCCCAGGTTGAGGGCTCGATCCCCAGTAGGGGGCGTGCAGTAGGCAGCCAATCAATGATTGATGTTTCTATCTCTCTCTTCCTTCCTCTCTGAAATCAATCAATATATATATAGAAAATAAATAAAAGTGGCCCTAGCCAGTTTGGTTAAAACAAACAAACAAACAAACAAACAAACAAAAACAATTGTGGCCCTGGCGGGGTGGGTCAGTTGGTTGGAGCATGTTCCCATACCTCAAAAGGTTGTGGGTTCAATTCCTGGTCAGGGCACATACCTAGGTTGCAGGTTCAATGCCCACTTGCGGACTGCTTTCATTCACCGGCCAGAACTGAGTGTGGGGGTCAGACCTATGTTCTCTAGGAGACTGGAAATGTATATTGCGGGCACCCGGGATCACATTTAGCGGCTTGTAAACCTGTTCGGCCATAATCTTACTCCAAACAAATCAACACCAGGGCTTCGTTTTCCCAGTAGATCTATTTGCTGACTTTCGCCCATGAGGACTTGGGAGAGGGTAGCGGAACCACCTCTG